TATAAAAGAGGGAAGAGGAAGAGATTAATCAAAACCTTACGTGAGTGCTGCTTTTATGAGGTTTTTGTCAGGCTTTAGTGTTGACAGGAATTGGAAATAAATGAAGACTCAAGGCCCAACCATTTATCTTCCCAGCCCACCCATAATTTATTTTTTCAGCCCCACTTTGCCAAAGCTGACAAAGTACGTTTAATAAGGAGGGGGTGGGACCTTTAGGCAATGCTCCTCAATCAAACTGTGCCAAGGAACTAATCAGGAAACTGGTTTTCCCAGTTGGAGACTGATTGTCACGTAAATGAAGATTTGTGCCCCGTTTGCACAGGCTGGTGGTTCTACTTTATTTTATTTGCTCCCCTGATTTAAAACCTGTATTAACTATATGCTCAAAATCATGTGTGATTTGAGGGTATTTTACAACTCAGTAAATATTCAGTGCATCTGATTACGAAACAAAAAAATACTATGAAAAGTATAAAAATGAAGCACTTTTTAAATAAAAAATTGATAAATTATTTTACTGCTCTAAAAAGCACAGTTATCTTTTTTATGATCAGTAGTGTGATATGTTCAACTACACAAATGATTTTGTTAGGTGAGGGTGGTGAGCCTGGCACAGGCTGCCCAGAGAAGCTGTGGCTGCCCCATCCCTGGAGTGTCCAAGGCCAGGTTGGACGGGGCTTGGAGCAACCTGGGATAGTGGAAGGTGTCCCTGCCCATGGCAGGGGGTGGGACTGGATGGGCGTTAGTGTCCATTCCAACACAAACTATTCCATGATTATATGATGCTATTATATAAATAATTTTAAAACCTTAACAGAATTAAGACTGTTTTCAAACAGTTCCTTATTCCTGGGAGCATTTGAAGCAGCTGATTTATGATAACTTATGAATTTGCTTTCTGCACTGTGACTTTGGTTCACCAACCTCTGCACTGATGGCAATTCCTGCAGAGTCCAGGCTTTAAGGGGGCTCTGCAATCCTGCCATTTTTAGTTTGGGGTCAGCAAGATTTGGCATGCCCTACATAAAGCACTGGCTGGATGGTATCTTCTCCCAAACCACATGGAAGCAAGACTAGGACTGGATCTGCAGCTGGGCTGGGGTCAGGAGCAGGTGGTAGAGCTGCCCACACCTCCCTGGCTCATTAGTGGGGGACTGGATTAGCAGCTCTCACTGCTGTGTGGGACAGCAGCCAGTGAAATCTCCTGGAAATAAGTGACATCTGTTTTGGGGGATGAACACACCTCGGGTTCTGTGTTTGGCAGTGTTCACACCTCGGTGGGGCTTGGAGATGGTTCTTGATGAGCTCTGCAGATGGTCCTGTGGCCCCTTGCAGACTCTGTAGCTGTCAATGCTTCACCCTCTTCTCATTCCCAAATGATTCAGGTATAGTAACTATTCCTAATAACCACATTTCAACCTGGTTTGGGTTGAGTTTTTTCTTTAAATCTTTCCTTTGATTAACTGTCCTGTTTTTCTCTTCCCCCCCTCCCATATTGATGGTTGGAGTTGATGATCTTAGAGGTCTTTTCCGACCTTAATGATTCCATAATTCTATGATTTGAGTGTTCTGGCTGTGTCTAGTTATTCAGCCACAAGTTGCTTCGTTGTCCTGACTTAAATGTGAAGAATAGGAGAAGGAAAGAACTGGAATTTAGGGATTTCTTACAAGAAATCTTCACACAAGTGCAGCACTAAAATTCATGAAAATTTCAGGAAAACAGGCTTATTTGTAACAGGAAGGTTTCCCAGAGACCGGGGGATGTGGTGATTGCAAACTGAGAAGTCATAGAGGTTCTCAATTAGTGGCAAATGGAGTTCAAACCTGCTTTTAATAACCCTCATAAGCACATTCTAATTTTTCTATGTATTTGTCATAAAAACTAATTATTATGTCCAAGCCATAAAAAGAAGAATAAGATTCTATTTCCTGTGTCATGTCAGTGATTTTGAGATATTCCACAAGTTAATGAAATCAATCTGCATATTAGGAAAGCAAAATTATGCATTATTGTGTCTGCAGAGAGAAATCAATGCTTCATCTGATTTTTTCAGTCTTTACAGCAGAGGGCTCAGGCCATGAAGGTCCCTGATGTGTCATTACAGCAGGGTGGGTCAGAGATGCAGGTGATGATCTCGCCCTGGGAAAGGCAGCTTTCCTGTGTGCTGTGGACAGGCTGTCCATTGCCACGGGGTGAGAAGACTTTTAGGGCTGTACCACTGGCCCTGACTACCTTGGCCACTTCAGAGGAACCACTTCTTGTACCAGCATGTCTGTCCCATGCCCCCATCGCTGCCACACCCAGGAGCAAATGGGGACTGAGCAGGGACCTGCTCCATCTGTCTGTGGGATGAATTGCTGGAGATTGTTAGCCCAGGTCGAGACCTGATGAGTCACATCGCTGATAAACATCTCAAAAAAGCCCCGCCAACAACATATTTTGCATTTTCACAGCTATATTTAGATATATTTAAATGAGATTTGGTTTTGAAATTTGAAAAGGCAGATGCACAGAAAATATTACAGAACCTGTGTGTATGTGGAAAAAAATCATGTATTCAAAGATGATCTGGAGAAGCTCTTCAGAGATCTGGAGATGGTCAGGAGTTCTTAGTGCACAGCACCTAGGGGTGGGCAGTGTGTGGTGGGAGGAGGACTGTGGTGTCTCCACCACCTTTCACTGAGGACACACTGCCCACGTTGCCTTTATGTTCAGCTCCCTGTAGTTGTTACTGGGGGAGGTGCTGAGACCTTGGCACAGGTTAGAGGAGCTGTGGCTGCCCCATTCTTGGAAGTGTCCAAGGCCAGGTTGGAAGGGGCTTATGTGGCTCAGTGGGCATGGGGGTATTTGGTCGAAGATTGGATGTGATGATCCTGGAGGACTTTTCCCACCTTAATGATTCTGTGGCTGATGGTTTCTACTGTGACATGTTTTCCTCTTGTGTTCTTGTTACCTCTCACCTTTTCCATATGACTCCTGTAAGAAGGGAGTCTCCATGTTCTCCTCAGCTACCCTGGAAATACTGTGACAAGGTGACAAGGTCTCTCAAACCTTCTTTTCTCATGGCTGAATGACCCCAGTTCTCTCAGCCTTCCCTCTCACAGTAGCTTCCCAGGCCTTTGCTTACACACCTTGTCTGAAATGGAAAGGTTCTCATTTAAAAACATTAAAAAGAGAAGTCAGATTACTGCAAAGTACTTTTCATGTTGAACCCCTGCACAAAATTTACTTGGGAGTTTAATTCCTTTTTCATCCTTGTTTATTATCTCATTTCTTCTACCTCTCGTTAATCCATTTACTGAATAAATGTTTATTCGCTGCTATATTTAATTTTTTTCTGACCTTCTCAGCTGCCACGTGAGATGGGTGGAAGGCTGTAGTTGTTGAAATGTAGAGGAGCTCTGTGATGGGTTTAATCTGCACTTGAGGCTTGGCAGAGCAGATATGAAATGCTAAATCTGCTCATAGATCAGAGTCTTTAGAGGTATCAGAAGAAATATGTATGCAAAATAAACATTTCTTAATTCTTAATAAATATTAACATTCCATTGTGTTCATGCATATATATTTAAGTCATAATTACTAAATTCCACAGATCTGAGTGATCTGAATGTAATGATCCCTATCAGTCAGTAAATAGCAGAAAAATTAGCAGCATACTGATATACCAGAAATCCTGATTTGTCTCACACTGTGAGGTTCCAGAAATACTGTGGAAGCCAATTTCTATCATGGGAAAGAAAATCTTCCTGGGAAGTCATTGATAATAATAACATCAACAATTCTCCACGAGTACCAGATCATATTGTGTCATTTATGTAATTTACAGAATTACATTATACAGCAGGACTACATGTTTGTGTTTATTTATATGTTATTTTAATTGATGTACATCTCTTATTAATTTCTTTTCTAATTCTATTTTGGAAATGAATGAATGAATGATGTGACCTGCTCAGTGTCATTGTAATGACACTACTAGGTTTTATTTCATTTCCTTGCTGTAAAACCAAGATTAAAGAGGAGCCCAGTCAATTAGGAAATGAACAAAGCACGTACTTAAGAGAAAATCACTTAATCTGTACTCTGTAAGTCTGGAAAACTCTTCACCTTCAACCATGTCATGGGTCCAATCTTCCCTTAGAAAGACTGTAAAATTCCGGAGGATCAACCTCAAACCCAAACAAAAGCCTGCACATTTCTCCTGCATCAGACCTTCTTGGCTTCAGGAAAGTCTGGAGAGGGTTTTTTCTTTAGAGAGATTCACACCGAAAGCCAGAATTCTTGCTTTCACTGCTGGGACCCCGAGTTCCCTTTCTCCCTTTGTAACATTACAAGTAAAGCATTCCCTTAAGGACAGGCCATTTAATGCTTTCCATCACTTTCCATCCACATGGAACTCTGTTCTCTGATGCCCAGGTGTATAAATAGTACAGAAAATGGGGTTAGTGAAGAATTCTGCTGATGAAATCAAAGAAAAAAAAATCCAGCTTATTTTTTTCTTAGCCCTGGTGCTGCTGGGGGCCTCAAAGCAATATGAGGCAACAGAAATAAATGTATTTTAGTCTTCTGCAGGAGAAGATACAACTCTCCAAGTACACACAGGCAGGATGTAACAGGCATCTTGATTTTTAAAAGTACAAGAACAATTTCATTTTCTCTTCTTTACACACTGTCACGAGCAAGCACAGCCTTTCAACAAGAGCATCCATCTTTCCTGGGAAATCGAGAGCAACCCCTGCTTTGCACAAAATAGAGAGAAGTGCTGCTTTCTCAGTTGCAGCATTTAGGATCCAAGGCTGAGCTCTGCAAACCTGATGAAAATAGTTGTGCTCACATCTCACTGAGGGTTTGCACAGTTGCATTTCAACACCTGCCTGTAATTTTATCCCAAAGGTGATCCAGCTATCCCAGCTCTCCCAGCTAGCTCTCTGTGCTCTGCTGGGATTGTACTGAGTCAGCAGCTTTCCTTGACCCCTTTCTCCTTGTTTCATTCCAGTGTCTCCCAAGATATTCCGCATCTCCAGTGACATCACTGTGAATGAAGGCAGCAACGTGACCCTGGTGTGTCTGGCCACAGGGAAGCCGGAGCCTTCCATCTCCTGGAGGCACATCTCCCCGTCTGGTGAGTGTGGAGCTGCCACCCCAACGGGGTTAGTGTTTTGGGGAGTCACAAGTGGGACGAGTGGCAGCATTTTTGCCTTAAAAAGTGCTTGTCTAATGGGACCTTTAGAAAAGAATCTTCTTCAGATTTTGGGTGAGATCAGGGAAAACTGGGATACTACTGTAACACACAAATGAAGACATAAGGACCTCTTAAATATGAATAAGTATGTTTTAACAGGCTGCAGACATGGACCACACAATTCCAATTAAAATCCAAGCAAGGACATAATCAGGAACACACAGCACTCTCTAGAAATGGGAATGAAAGTTAAACATATGAACACATCATGTAATAGATTTAATTTACTGTCATTTATTTTACTGTAACTACAGATGCAGGGTGGGATTTTTGGGGTGTCCTGTGCAGAGCCTGAAGCTGGACTCAGTGATCCTCATGGGTCCCTTCCACTTCAGGATATTCTAGGATTCTATACCATTGAACGATTATTCCTTGATGCAGCACAGCTTATTGGAATGGTTTTAGTGAATGAAGTAAATGATATTTAGGAAAAATTGCAAACAAAATGTCAACTAAAGGTATCACTTCTATCTGATATTTCCATTTATACTTTTGATTCCTCATAACATATTTAAAGAAAAGTTCTGGCTAATGTTGTAGGCATCTCTCCACTGTTGGCTTGGTGTAGAGCCACCAAAGCTGCTCCCTGGGAGCAAAGCAGGGTCTGTGGGGAGATCTCCACTCCCTATCTCTGGAAATTAGGATGGATTTGGTGTTCCTGGGAGGAGCTGCTCCCTGCTCCCAGCTGGCTGGACTGGCATTGCACTGGTTCTTTTACAGGGACTCTACAGTCATGATTGATTTTGCAATGAAAGGCTTTCTTTGCTCCCACAACTTTTATAAAATCCGTGTAATTGTAGGGAAGGAGGCTTTCATGGACTGTCACAGCCTCTCATAATCCTGAGGAACAGTTTGCTTTACAAAGCAAGATCTGGAAAAAAAAGGTCACTTTTGACCTTTAAGACAATGACAATGAATTTGGCTTGGAGTGTCCATCAAGGGACTCGAGGAAAAATTCAGTTGTAGCAGAAAATGGATTTTAACTAAATGTCAAATAAAATTTTATTAGAAGCCATGGTGATACTTTAGAGTAATAGCTTAAAGCATTGAGTGGCTGCAGAAAGGAGCTCTTATAATGTTCCTGGAGAGGGATAAAGCAGAAAAGGAGAATTAGTGCACTCAGGCTGCAGGAGAGGCTGAGGAATAGGCAGTCTCCTCCTCTTGAATTCAGGCAAAATGAAAATCTGGTACCTGGGGACATGGGTGAGTGGTGGCCTTGGCAGTGCTGGGGCGATGGTTGGACACTCAATGAGCTTACAGGGTTTTTCAACCTTAATAAAAATTAATGCAGGTAATCAGAAGGGCTTCCAGTGAGCCCCTGGCTCTGTATCTTGACAAAAGGGCTGCGAATGACGAAAGGTGTGCTCATCCATTACCACAGTGAGAACTGAAAATGGAATTTGAGGCAAACACTCTTGGAAGATCTTGTGGAACGGGGAGAGACAATGGGGGTGCTCAGGGTGCTCCTACCAAGCGCCCAGCACAGCAAACTGTGGGTACACAGGAGGTATTCCCAGAGGAGCTGTTCCCACAACTTAAAGTCTAAGGGCAGGCAGGTATAGCCTCTCTTTGTTTTCCCTTTAGGTGTCAAATTCTTGCTTCACTCTGCCTTCTCACCGCTTCTTGGAAGTGGATATGATTAGAATCCCAGAATCTCAGACTGGTTTGGACCTTAAAACTCATCCAGTCCCACCCCCTGCCACGGGCAGGGACACCTTCCACTATCCCACGTTGCTCCAAGCCCTGTCCAACCTGGCCTTGGACACTTCCAGAGATGGGGCAGCCACAGCTTCTCTGGGCAACGTCTGCCAGGGCATCACCACCCTCACAGCCAAGAAATTATTCCCAATCTCTAATCTAAATCTCTCCTCTTTTAGTTTATAGTGCCCATGGGAGACAAAAAAGAGGCAAAGGTACCACAGACTAGGCAGGGACGCCTCTGAGAGGAGGGAGGGTTCCCAGGCTGACGCAGCACATCAGGACAGCCCAGGCAGAGATGCCCTGATGAGCCTCAGTGCTGAGGTCTGGCAAATTCATTGCAGATGCCATGTCACAGACCTGCATCCCCACAAATCCTCCTTTTCCAAGTGATGGGCAACAAGGGGGAGCACTGGGACCTGGCACTCAGTGCTCTGCTCTGGGTGACAATGTGGGGATTGGTCACACCTTGGACTTGATGACCTTGGAGCTCTTTTCCAGCCTCAGTGATTCTGAGATTCTGTGCCTTGAGACGTGCCTTGGGTGTCCCCTGTTTGATTAATGGACACAGCTCGATCTGGAATGGGAGAACACAGGATCCAAATAACTTCTTGCGCAAAAATCTTGTAAAATGTGATGGAAACAAAGGTACAATTTCCAGCACATGTTCTGCTAGTGCAACAAATAAAGAAGACTTCTTCCATTCCAGTAACACTTCTCTGCTCAGGTGCATGTTCCGGGTGCAGACAGTTACAAATGGCTCTCATAGCCCAGGGAACATCAGCCTGGCAAACACAAAGCCTGGATTTATTAGAAAAGAAAATGCAAGAGAGTTGCAAACATCAGGTCTCTGTAATGGTTTATATTCTGTGTGCAGCACCTCACCTCTCTCTAAACATCAGCTTCATCTGCACTTTCTAATTTCTCCCAGTTTTCCCCTGTAATTCCCAGTGGCACTAATGAGGCTCACAGGGAAGCGTCGCATCTCCAATCCAGCACTAAATTATATTAACCAAGCATATTTAGAATATTCTCAAATTGTTTGTCAAAGCTGCTGCTAAAAGATAAGGAACTGAAATCTCTGAATACAAATGACTCAATGTAGACTAATTCCAGGATATGATCATGATTTACATCAACGCAGCCTTGACTTGCACGAGGTTGGATTCAATTTTTTGGAACACGAGATAAATTGAACCTTTCATAGGAATAAAAATAAAATACATTTTGAGGTGATTTTTAAGCTCAGTCTGTAAATCATTGGCCTGGAATCTTTATTGTGCATGTTTAACTTGCAGTCATTATGTAAATGCTTTCATTATATAAATATTCATTACACAGCCCCATTATGTAAATGCAGCAAATCTCCACACTCAGCGGAACGCTCAGACTGCAGTTTGTAATCTGGAAATCTGTATTGTTGAAATGTCACCCGAATAAATTGCAGGTATTACTTATTTTGTTCTGACATTTCAGAGCAAAGTGCATCATCGATAGTTTAAGAATGAAACCAGAATGCTAAAGAATTCAGCTCTGACAGAACTCCAGCTTTAGCACTTGTATGTCCAACCTGTGTGTGTGAGTTACACTGAGAGTTTGGCTAAGCTCTGTCGGCAGCAAAACTAGCAAAAGACATTCAGAAATCTTTTGATAAAATGTTTCTGCTTTCCAAAGTTCAGGTGCTGTTATGTCAAAATTCTTTTCCACTTTCATTTTGACAAGTTTCCAAAGGGGAGGTTCTCCAGCTGCAGAGGGATTGGCATGCTCAGAGGGTGCAGTGACAGGACAAGGGGGAACAGCTTTAGGCTGAAGGAGGGGAGATTTAGATGGGATATTGGGAAGGAATTCTCAGCTGTGAGGGTGGTGAGGCCCTGGCACAGGTTGCCCAGAGAAGCTGTGGCTGCCCCATCCCTGGAAGTGTCCAAGACCAGGTTGGATGGGGCTTGGAGCAACCTGGGATAGTGGAAGGTGTCCCTGCCCATGGCAGGGGGAGGAACAAGGTGGGCTGTAGGGTTCCTTCCAACCTGAATCAGTCCAGGATTCTATGATCCCTGGTTACTTCCAGTTCCGTATTTTCCAGTTCTTCCCTCCTCTCTTGCTCCTTTTCTCACGGTTATATCTCCATTGTTCCCAGTCCAGCTTTCAGTTAATTTCCCAAACAGGATGATGATCTGGATGCAGGGATGCATTTGGAAGAATAGATTTTCAGAAACTGTGAATTTAGCTGAATTGAGTGGAAGGCAGATTCTGGCACCAGAACACCCATTGTTCATTCTGTCCGGGTTCCAGGGAATGATGACACAGAAACATTTCCAGTATAACCCAACAAACCACCAAAAGCCCTGTAAGAACTGTTTAGCATGTGCAAAATAACATATTTTTCTCCAACACTGAGGAAACCAGTGGTAGTGCTCACTAAGCAGAAATTAGGCTGAGTTTAGACTTGAACATGCCCATATGATGGCTCCTCTCCCTCCTCTCCCTCTCCCTTTTCCCTCTTCCATTTGCCACGTGTGCAGGATGTGATAGGACTGAAGGCACTCTAATGCCCCTCCTGCTGCTCCTGGACAGCCCTAAAGCTGTGGAGATATATTGCATTAATGTATCATCACAGCCTGACCATGTATTAGTGCAATTCATCTTCAGAGCTCTGCAATTACCAGGCTGGGCTGGTGGGGAAGGAGCTTCGGAGCCGATTCCATTGCGGACAAAAGGCGCTGCCAGTCCCTGGGCTACAGGACCCTTCCTCAATCCCACTGCTGCACAACACTGAGGTCCTTCTCTGAGGGAGAAGCAAAGAGGGTTTTTAAAAACTCTCCCTAAATGCTGAGAAACAAACAAAGCTTGACCTGAGCCAGCCAATGTCAAAGATTCTGTTCCACTTGCCCTTCTGCTGCAGAGCCACTGCCTCTCAGATGTGTGCACACGTGACAGAAATGAGAAGTGTTTTGTTCAAGTGCAAGTACTTCACACTTGGATTTTCAGGCTGAAAATACTTAACTGACATGGATTATTATCAGATTCCAAGGGCTTTGTGTGTGTACGAATGGTGAAATCTTTTAAAATCCTCCATCCCTCACTTAAAAATAGGTTTTAAAGTGAAAGTTTTAGAAACATGAGTTTCTATCTTGTTTCTCTTTTTCTTACTAAGGTCTAAACATGGAGCAGATATTGCTGGTGAG